AAAGCTGCAACAGCTTTCCTTTGCAGAGAAATCCAGCCCCTGCTGCCTCGACAAGCTCTAATATCCCATAAAAGCTTTTGCTCCTGATTTGCTTTGCCTCAGTCCTGCCTATGCTCCAGCTTACCCTAAATTCCTTTTCTGCCTGGTATTCATTACTCTGTGCTCCAGGTCAGTTTGGGTGGGAGAGACCCCCGGATGGACCCTCTCAGTTGAGCTCACAGAGGGTTCATGATGCATCAGATTAAGCAAAATGGAGGGGATGGTTGGAAACCTTAATCCGGAGAGGGGGATTAGTGAGCAGCACATGAAACGACATGAGATTGGGAGGGAACACAGCTGGAGCCATTCAGGAGAGACCCAGTCACATTCCTTCCTTCTGGGGACCAGAGGATGCAGAAGGATGCTGCATCCGCACTGCAGAAACAATCCTGGTTGACGCCACTTTCACTGCCTTGGCTCAATGGGATGGAATTATGGGAACTGCAGTTTTGTGTGATATTTAGTCTTCTCTGTCAGAGAGCTCTGCTGTCACAACAAACTACAGTCCCCAGAGTTCCATAGAACTAAACCATGGCAGTTAAAGTTGTGTCAAGATGGATTATGTCTACAGTGCGGATGCAGCCTCAGAGGAAAAGGCCGGTGCTCTCGGAAGGGATTTTGAAGACACTCCCTCCAACATTTCACCAATGAAACCTGGAACAGGTGTAGTCAAGAAGCAGCAGAGTGTGGTCCAGAGGTCAAAAGTCATTCATAAGGAAGGACAGAAAAGTGAGGAGAAGCTGCAGCACCTTGCCTTTGCCTGAGCCTACTGGGAAGGGCAAGATTCTGCTCTCCTTGTTGAGTTAACTGGGTGCAAACTACCTTTATGCTTTGAATTCAGTTTGCAGCAGCTGAATTAAGGTATGGACAAAGGGGGAAAGTGGGAGGAGGACAGAGAAACTGGGACATTTCAAAAGCAGCTGGGGAAATGGGATGACAGAGGATTAATTGGGATTGTCAAATTGGGACAGTTGGAGGATATGTCAAAGTGCCTCATCACCTACAACATGTGTGTGTGTGTGTTTGAATAGTTAATTTGCTTAATTCAGCCTAAAATGTGCCTGCAAAACAGATAAATAATACTCAGAAGGCCTCCTTTTTGTAACCCCTGCCTCTTGGGGGCCCAATTGGAACCAACATTGGTTTCTTTCCAGTACCAAGTCAGAACATAGCTTATTATTAAAGCCTTTGCAGGGGTGGGGGTGTTGTTTTTCCAAAAGGCATACTGTACATGGTTTTAATTGTTTTAACCTTTTAAGCTGTGTTAATGTGTTAATGCGCTTGGTATGTTTTTATCCTGTTTAAATTAGAGTATTGTTTTGAATAAAGAGCCAGAGTGGTGTATGGTTTGAGTGTTGGGCTAGGACACTGGGAGACCAGAGTCCAAATCCCCTCTCAGCCATGGAAACCCACTGGGTGACCTTAGGCAAGTCACACTCTCTCAGCCTCAGAGGGTGGCAAGGGCAACAGCAGATCCCCTCTGAAGAAACTTGCCAAGAACACCCTGTGAGAGAGGAATGCCTTAGGGTTTTCATAGGTCAGAAACGACTTGAATGCACACAGCAACAACAAATTGTTTTAGATCCGATATTATTGTAAATTGGTTTTTATAGTCTTACTTGCACCCTGCCCTGAAGTCCCATGAAAAAGGACAAGATGCACATATTTTAATAAATAAATATTAATAAATAATAATGGATCAGGGGTTAGCAGATGCTGCAGGACTGCAATTCTTAGCATTCATCAACAATGACTGGTGGAGAGGGCTGATGGGAACTGCAGTCTGAGCAACATCTGGAGATCCACACTTCCCCTCTCTCCTCATAAACTGGAAATATCACAGAATCAAAGAATCATAGGATTCTAGAGTTGGAAGGGACCTCAAGGGTCATCCAACCCCCTTCTTCCATGCAGGAATCCACAAAAGCACTTCTAAGAGGTCCCCATCCAAGCTCAGTTTAAAGAAGGAGAGTCCACCACCTTCACTGGCAATCAATTCCTCCGTCAAACTGCTCTTACAGAAAAGAAATTGTGAAGTCAAAGGCTTTCACGGCTGGCATCCATAAGTTTTTGTGGGTTTTTCAGGCTGTGAGGCCATGTTCTAGAAGAATGTATTCCTGGCATTTCACCTGCATCTGTGGCTGGCATCTTCAGAGAATGGTGGCATGGAGATGTGGGGGGTATATATACTGTATATAATGTGTGGCCCTTGGTTGAGAGGATGAACATGTAAATCTGTGTTTTGTTCTGTTGAGGCAAGGCCTCAGGGTGAGAGGATATGCAAGGAGGATTAGTATCTATTTAATTAATGGTCCATTGTCTGCTAGGAAACCCCAAATTTGTTGTTGCTGTGTGCATTCAAGTTCATTTGCATTTGCTGAGTCCTGATTTTGGTGTTTTTGAGGACTGGTAGCCAAACTTTGTTTACTTTCAGGGTTTCTTCTTTCCTGTTGAACTTGTCCAGGTGTTTGTGGATTTCAATGGCTTCCTTGTGCACTTGGACCCAATAGTTTGTTGGCATGGTCCAGAATTTCAGTGTTTTTGAATAGCATTTTGTGCCCAGGTTGGTTCATAAGGTGTTCTGCTACTGCTGATTTTTCAGGCTGGCCCAGTCTGCAGTGTCTCTTGTGTTCCTTGATTCACATTTTGTGGTCCCTATGTAGACTTGTCCACAGCTGCATGGCATGCAGTAAACTCCTGCAGCCATAGCAAAGCAAAGCAAAGCAGCTTATTTATATACCGCTTCATATCACGCTATGGGATGTCTAAGCGGTTTACAACTGTGAGCTGATTGCCCCCCAACAGTTGGGTACTCATTTTAGCGACCTCGGAAGGATGCAGGCCTGAGTCGAGCCTCAGCCCTGGCCGGTATTGAACTCGCAACCTTGTGGTCTATGAGTGAGTGGCTGCAGTACAGGCATTTAACCACTGCGCCACCAGGGCTGGCCATGAGAGGGTCTCTTCTATCATTTGCTGAGCATAGCATTTCCTAGATTTTCTTGGTTGCTAGATAGATCATTTGGAGGTTGTGTTTACAAGTCTACACAGGGACCACAAAACGCAGTGTTCAAATGTGAATCAAGGAACACGAGAGGCACTGCAGACTGGGCCAGCCTGAAAAATCAGCAGTAGCAGAACACGTTTAAAAGTCCAAAAAAAATAATAATAATAACCTTCCCCAAACCTGGAAGGACTGCCAATTTAGTAATACCAGATCTTGTAGGCTCTGTTTCAGAGAAAGGAACTGGCAAAGCCACCTCTGATGAGTCCTTGCCTGAGGAAATTCTATGAAGCTCATAGGGTCACCATAAGTTGACAAGGGACTTGAAGGCACACACACAAACAGACACAAACCTGATCTTGAAAGCTAAACAGGGTCAGCCCTAGTTAGTACTTGGATGGGAGACTGCCAAACAATCCTAAGTGCTGGAGGCTATATTTCAGAGGAAGGATCTGGCAAAAACCCCTCTGAGGAAGCCTTGCCTAAGACAACCCTAGGAAAGTCATGGGTTTGCCATAAACTAACAGACAGATTTGAAGACACAGACAAACTAGCCTGGAGAAGAGAAGATAGAGAGGTGGTGTAATAATAGAGCCCTCTTTAATGATCTGAAGGGTTGCAATGTTGAAGAGGGAGACAGCTTGGTTTTCTGCTCTGGCTTTTTGCTGTCATTAGAGACTGCAGAAATAATCCAGTTTGACACATCTTTAACTGCCATGGCTCAATGCTATGGCACTCTGGGATTTGTACTTCGGTGGGGGACTAGAGCTCTCTGACAGATGAAGCTAAATGTCTCACAAAACTACAAATCCCAGAATTCCATAGCATGGGGCCATGGCAGCTAAAGTGATGTTAAATTGCATTCATTCTGCAATGTGGATGCAGCATGGAATCTTGCCTTCCAACAGCAAGGTTGTCCAGCACAAGGTATAACTTTGCATGCAGAAATTTAACCAACGTTGGTCTGTGTGTGTTGTTGCGTGAGTGTGTGTGTCAATTTCCCAGCCCTGCCCTTTGGAATGCTATGAATTCCATCATGCTCCAAAAACTCATCAGTGGAGGAAGAAGCCTGAGAGCAGTGACAGCTGGCTGGATGAGTCTCCCATAAACACACACACATCTATGTGCATAATGCATTGTGGTGCTCTCTGGGCTATAGCTTTTAATACAGACAAGAAGCAACATTGACATGGTTTATTTATAATGAAAAATGCTTCTGGAGTGCTTTTCCCTCCTCCCTTGCTAAGTGGTGACAGAGCCCTTGTGGTGCATTTCCCATCCTCCTCAGAACATGCAGAACTCCATCTCCCTCTTTGGTCCCAAACCCAGCCCTCTGAGAACAAACGCACCAGGATTTAAAACATCTAGTACACCACCCTCCTCCAATAGCCTTCTGGACTGGCTCATAACAAACCATTTCCCATTGCTTTTTCCCCTCTCTGCTTCTATCTCCACAGGGCTGTAGGGCATTGCAGCTGGTGGCCTCCCTGGCAATGGGGTGAGGAATCTGTTCCTGAATTTAGTGTGAACTTTAAAAGGACTATCCAAGCTGCTAAACTTGATCTCCCCAAAATAGATACCAGCACCTTGGATAGCTCCTTTAGAATCATAGAGTTGAAAGAGACCACAAGGGCCATCCAGTCCAACCCCCTGCCATGCAGGAACTCCCAATCAAAGCATCCCCGACAGATGGCCATCCAGCCTCTGCTTAAAGACCTCCAGGGAAGGAGACTCCACTACTCTCCGCGGGAGTGTGTTCCACTGTCGAACCGCCCTTACTGTCAGGAACAGTTGTTTGTTTTGTTGTTGTGCACCTTCAAGTTGTTTCTGACTTATGGTGACCCCCAAGGCAGACCTATTGTGGGGTTTTCTTGATAAGATTTGTTCAGAGGGGAGTTGCCATTGCCATCCCCTGAGACTGAGAGAGTGTGACTTGCCCAAGGTCACCCAGTGGGTTTCATGGCCAAGCTGGAACCGAACCCTGGCCTCCAGAGTCCTAGTCCAGCACTCAAACCACTAGGCCACATTGGAAAAGATTTGGGCAGCACTAGCAACCTCAGTCTGTAGGGCAAAGGTGGGCATAATGTGACAACCCCTGAACTTAATTTCTGTGGCCCTTGAACCCCCAATCTTCCAAAGCCCCTCAACTCCCTCCAATTTGTTTTTTTAATAGGCATGATTTTTGAGCATTTTATGTCCCAAAACTACACAGGAAGCCCCCAAACTTGTGAAAATTTCTGAAAATACCCTCAGCCCACCTCCACAAACACCCCAGAACGCCATTAAGTCCTGGGAGAAAAACTCCTCTCTCTTTCTTTCTCTCTTTCAAAGTTTGGCTTCCAAAGACTAGACACTGCTGCATTCCAGCCCATCTCACTGCTGCTGTCTTGGGTCTCTTTTACACAATGCACAATGATCCCATTTTAACAACCATCCTATGGAATCCAGGGATCTGCAGTTTACAGAACAGGTATTTAACATTCTCTGCCAGGGAACAGCTCTAGCACCTCTGCAAACTACAAATCCCATTACTGTAGGGTGCAGCCATGGCAGTTAAAAATGGAATCACAGTGCTATACAGTCAGCCCTCCATATCCATGGATTCTGCTTCCATGGATTCAACAATCCACGGTTTGCAAATTTTTAAAAATATATATATTAATTCCAAAAAGAACACCTTGTTTTTTTGCCATTTTATGGAAAGGAGTTTTACTATGCTACTGTATTTAATGGGATTTGAGCATCCATGGATTTTTGGTATCCACAGTGGGTGTGTCCTGAAACCAAACCCCAGCGGATACTAAGGGCCTGTTGTTGTTGTTATCATCATCATCATCATCATCATCATCACTACTATTACTATTATTATTATTTTTATTAACAACACCCCATTATCTTTAATGTAACTTGAACAACCATGGATCTTGGTATCCATTGGGGTCTTGGAACCAAACCCCAACAGATACCAAGGGCCCACTGTAATAATAATAACAACAACAACCCATTGTATTTAATGGGACTTGAGCATCTATGGATTTTTAGTATCCACAGTGTGCGTGTGTGTGTGTCCTGAAACCAAACCCCAGCGAATACTAAGGGCCACTATGTTGTTGTTGTTGTTGTTATTATTATTATTATTATTAACAACACCCTATTGTATTTAATGGAACTTGAGCAACCATGGATCTTGGTATCTACTGGGGTTCTTGGAACCAAACCCCAGCAGATACCAAGGGCCCACTGTAATAATAATAATAATAATAACAACAACCCATTGTATTTAATGAGACTTGAGCATCCATGGATTATGGTATCCATGGGGGACCCTGGAATAAAACCACAACAAATACCATGGGTTCACTGTAATAATTATAATATAGTAGTAGTAGTAGTAATAACAATAATAATAATAATATGCCATTGCATATAATGGGACTTGAGCATCCATGGATTTTGGTATCTACGGGGTGGGCCTGGAACAAAATCCCAACAAATACCATAATAATAATAATAATAAATAATAAATTTTATTTATAACCATGGGCCCACTGTGATAATTATAATAATATAGTAGTAGTAGTAGTAGCAGTAGTAGTAATGATAATACCCCATTGTATACAATGGGACATGCATCCACAGATTTTGGTATCCATGGGGCGGGGAGGGGGGCAGGCTGGAACTAAACCCTAACAAATACCATGGGCCAACTGAAACTGTGTAGGACAAAAGGTAATGGTGCCTGAGGCTGGGCAGATAGGGATCCCCCAAGCCTAGCCCTCCCTAGACTTCCTCACCTTTGGGAGACATGAGGTGCTGAGGAGCCATCTTAATCCTTTCTGAACTCACCTGTGTTCCTGTCACGGTCAGGTTGAGAGTGGTGGGACGGTGCTTCTGGGTCTCCTCCAGTGTCGGGGAAGGTATCGGAGATGCCGAAGGGGATGGTGGTGCTTCCTCTAATCCATTGCCTTCTTCCTCCTCCTCTTCCTCCTCTTCCTCCTCCTCTTCATTGTCATCGATCATCTCAAACTCTTGGAAATCATCCTGGAAGGTGCAGGTGGGATGCGGCTGCTCACACCTCTCCAGCACCAGGCAGTCCTGGAAGGCAAGAAGACACAGGCTGTGGATGCTGGGACTCAGTGCCCATGGGCATCCTGGGATTTGTAGTTTGTTTGGCACCAGAGCTCTCTGGCAGGGAAGGCTAAATATCTCACAGAATTACAAATCCCAGCATCCCACAGCATTGAGTCATGGCAGTAGAAGCACTGTCAAACTGCATTAATTCTGCAGTGGAGGTTAGACCTGAGATAATCCTGACCTAGCAACCCAACAAGTGATAGGGTGGCATAGATAGATGGTCTCCCAGACTCCCCTACTGTCTGATTCCAGGATTCAAAGTATTAACCACCAAGCCAGTGAAAGTTTTTCTTTGGATTACAATCCCAGAATCCCCCACATGGCTATAAATCCCAGAATATTTTATGCTGACTGGGTTATTCAGGGAGTTGTCATCCAAAAATAATAGTAGGGGGGAAAATCAATAATAATAATAATAATAAGTATTAGTATTAGTATCCTGTCTCTCCCTGTTGAGGATCGAGGTGGGTAACAGCAAAGATTAAAGCAATTACAGAAATAATAATAAGAAAATAATCCCTGAACCCCCACACCCCTTCGACCCACCCTCCCTTTGATAACAGTGGCAATGTCTAGGGGAGCTAGATCAAATGGGCAGTTAGTTCAGATCAGGACATTGATCAGTCTGGGAAGGCCTTCCGGAAGAGAATCGTTTTTATCGCTTTTTTAAAAACGTCAAAGGATGTAATCTGGCGAGTCTCCTCCGACAGGTCATTCCAAATTTTAGGAGCGGCAGCTGAAAAGGTCCTCTGGGAAGTCATCCCCAGTCTAGTTTCCATTGCTTGTAGTAAATTCCTCCCAGAGGACCTGAGTGTGTGGGAAGGATTATATGGGAGGAGGCGTTCCTTCAAGTAAGCTGGACCCAAGCCATGAAGGGCTTTATAGGTAATAACCAACACCTTGGACTGTGCCCTTGTACTGTGTACTCCCTAAGCTCTGGCTAATGGTGGCTCATTGATCATGCTGAGCGTGGCTCCTCCTGGCCACCCTTATAACAATCTGTCTCTCTGAGGCATTCATCTCCTTCCCACAGAAGGCAGTGAGTCAATCCCTTCCCGTCTCTGCCAGCCATTTCCTCTGCTTCACCACCTCCTGGAAATGCTGACTACCCTGCACGGCTGGCGTGCGTGTGTGGCAGGGAAGAGGGGACAGGAGGGCAGGAAGTGACAGATGGAGCTGGAAGAAAATGCAACTGCAGCTCAACAGGTGCTGCGGACACAGGACCATTCCTCAGGCAGTGGTCACCTGTCTGCTCAGTTGCAGCTGAAGGTGGCTGAGAGAGGACAGCCCCATTGTGCTTCCTGTTCTGTGCAGAGGGAGCATGCACACAACTCACCGACACCCACACACACACACAGACGCACATCACAACCTCCCCAGATTCTAAGCCAGGGGATGGGTCTTATTAAATGTGCCCCATTCCACCTCTTCTACCAAAGCCAACCCAAGGAGAGCTTCTTGTTGTTGTGTCCCTTCAAGTCGTTTCCAACTTATGGAGACCCTAAGGTGGAGTTCACTTGGCAAGATCTGTTCAGGTGAGGTTTGCCATTGCCTTCTCCTGAGGCTGAGAGAGCGTGACTCACCCAAGGGGGGTTTCCATGGCTGAGCTGGGAATGGAACCCTGGTCTCCAGAGTCATGGTCCAACACTCAAACCACTATGCCACACTCCAAGGAGACCTTGCCCCCTCTCCTTTTAAACCTGCATCTACACTGCAGAATAAATGCAGTTTGACACCACTTTAATTGCCATGGTGGCTCAATGGCCACCTGGGGTTTGTAGTTTTGTGAGATGTTCAGCCTTTTCTGCTACAGAACTCTGGTGCCACAACAAACTGCAAATTCTGGACTCCCTAGCATTGAGCTGTGGCAATTAAACTGGTGTCAAACCACAGTTTGAGAATGTAAGAGGCTGCTGTCTTGGAGAGTGTTGGGTCTCCTTCTTTGGAGGCTGTTTTTGGTGTCTTCTGATGGCAGAAGGAGGTTGGTCTGGATGACCATTGTAGTCTCTATGGTTCAATTAAACCGCATTAATTCTACAGTGTGGCAGCAGCCTAGCTCTGTTTTGCCCTCACAATAGCCTGGTACATCAAAATTGATTGGAAAATTTCTCATTCCTTTTTGTCTCTGATCCAATCTAGAAAAACGACTCACTAATTAAGCCGGAGAGAAACATTGCTCATTCTCTTTTGTCATCATTGTGTGACAGTTTCACTTGCTAAATGACAGCATTGCATATCAGGCAGGCTGCTTTTAAAGGCTCCACAGAAGCACCAATTATTTAAAGAAGGAAGGAAGGAAGGAAGGAAGATGGCAACTGATGGTCAGAGGGTGACCATGAAGCCAAAGTAAGGCTTGTTGAACTTACAATGTGTCAGTGAATAAAATGATATTTCCAATCCACTGTGCCTCTGTTCTTGAGTCCAAAATGGGTAGGTTTTCTTTTTGTGCTTCAGGAGCTGTATCCCACTGCAGAAATCATCCAGTTTGACTGCCTTGACTCAACGCTATGGCATTATGGGAATTGAAGTTTGTGGTGGCTCCGCTCTGGGGACACCACAAACCAGTTCCCAGAATGCCAGAGCATTGAGCCAGGGTAGTTAAACCGGTGTCACACTGGATTATTTCTGCAGTGTAGATGCATCCGGGGATAGGATGCTGGCAGCTATGGAGGAGACAGTAGCACTCTATCGCCTGCCCTTCTGCTTAGGCGCATCTTTGCTCTTTGACTGAGTCAGACCCTCGGAGGTCTGAGTAGACAATCTAGCCCAGTATTATCAACTCTGACTGGCAGCCATAGCTCTCTAGATGGGTTTTCCAGGCAGGCTTCTTTCTAATCCCAGTGAAGGAACCTGATGCCTTCTGCATAAGGACCCGGGGAGCTGGCCTTACACCAAGT